GCTCAGCCACGAGAGCCGGGCCGCGTCCCGCTTTCTGTGCTGCATCACTGCCTGGCAGCCCTTTGTAGCCATCTCACTATTCCGATCAGTTGTTCTGATGTGGAGAAGACAGGTGGCCGGTGGAGAAAGACACACCGGAGAGATCTATGTAGGGAGCTCTGTGGCTTGGTGTCCTCTGTGCCCCTGGTGCCCGGGGACGGTGCCACAGCATCACCTAGGATGCCGTGTTCCATGCCCTGTTTATGGGTGCGGCTCCCTACGGCCGTGCGTCTGGGAGGGCGGGAGCGGGGTGGGACTCTCCTCTCTTCCCTGTCACTGAGCCAGTCCTAGGAGCAGAGGACCGTGGGTAATCTAATCATGCCATCACACAGTCGCATCCATGTCATACCAGCTCACCTGTTCACCTGGCGGGAGTGGAGGCTCCCCCCTCCCCCAATTCTTCTGCTGTGAGCAGGTGTCCTCCTGTAAGTGAAGCTATGGTGTGCGTATACGGTTGAGAGGAAATACTGCGCAGGCCAGCAATGGCTGGCACCCTGGTGTAGACGAGGGTGCGGTGCACTGAGCATGTCAGACCCACAGGTGGAGCCGTGACATTGACCTCAGTGTCAACTGTTCTGTGTCCTCTCTCTCAACGGTTACTCACTGCACTTGAATATATGCACATTGAAAGTATGTGCATGGCTTATGGATTTGATTTTCTGGGGGAAAACATTTCAACAGGCTCCCAAGAATCAATCATCCATGGAACTGCTAATATTTTGATCTGAGTCTCATTTTAAAGGCCCTTCTGGTGATGCTGAGTGTCATGGATGATGAGTTTGGTTTCTCGGCCCAGACTGTTCTCTCTCCTTTGTCCCGTCGTGAACATAAACCCTAAGGAATGGGCTTAGCAGCCATGTGAGGAGGTTCAAACCATGTGCTTCTAGCGGGCGAACTTGGCACAGCCCTGGCTGCTCACCTGGTGATTTTAGTTTGGTCGCCAAATAGCGTATCTTACAGTCTCACAGGGAAACCAGTACAGTGATGTCATGTACTTTTTTAAATGTTTATATTAAAAACATAATGGTTTTGCTTCCTAATCCTCCCATTCTATGAGCCTGTCACTTTGAAAGTCACAGATGCAGACTGGTAAGTCCATCTGCTCCGCCATTGTCATCGTCACTGCCATCCAGGTGCACACGCACCATCGCAGCTCTCTCGGCCGGAAGTGCTCCCAGTCTGAGGAGTTATTATTTTTTAAACATATAAATACATTCATCCACTTGCCAAACAACATTTTTTGTCATTTTTATTCCTAAACTATATGTTGAATGCTCCTATATTGAACATTTTCTTCACTGACCCTTTTTGCTTAAAAATCAGCTTGCAGTGTGTGGTACAGGTTTTCTGTTTGTTTCTTTGTGCTTCTGCTTTCGAAGTCGCTTGTGATGAAGATACATTTAAATTGAAATGTAGGTGGAATGACAGCCCCTTCCCCACAAGCACATTAGCTCCCATGATGCAGCGTAAGCAGGTGTAACTGTAACACTGGTCATTGATGCAGTAATCACTCCTGTCCACATCTATCAGAAATTAGAGGGTGAGAACAAAAGTTTAAACCCTCAGGTTGCTCCTAAAATGTTGCCAAGCCCATGCTGCTCCTCTTAACAGAGAGAAACCTGGGTGTTAAGGTTCACAGGCTCTTTTCTGACAAAGAAAATGGGCTTCTATCTGCCAAGCGCATGGTCTCGTGAGCTTCAGATAGAGGCGGGCTGCCCTGTGCCTGGGGCTGGCCACACGGGGCCGGCCCGACGTGCGGGGAGATGGAGAAGGGACGGGACATGCTCGCTTGCTTGGGGGGTAACGTCTGGACTTCCCTGCAGGCGAGAAGGTTCTTCAGGACGATGAGTTCACCTGCGACCTCTTCCGCTTCCTGCAGCTGCTCTGCGAGGGGCACAACTCAGGTGCGTGAGGCCTGAGGCTGGAGGCTGGTGCCCAGGAGGACGTGCTTGCCACAAGTACTGACAGAGGCCTGTCCGTTGTGATGACGGGTTAGCCCTGCAGGGGGTGCTCAGCCACGAGAGCCGGGCCGCGTCCCGCTTTCTGTGCTGCATCACTGCCTGGCAGCCCTTTGTAGCCATCTCACTATTCCGATCAGTTGTTCTGATGTGGAGAAGACAGGTGGCCGGTGGAGAAAGACACACCGGAGAGATCTATGTAGGGAGCTCTGTGGCTTGGTGTCCTCTGTGCCCCTGGTGCCCGGGGACGGTGCCACAGCATCACCTAGGATGCCGTGTTCCATGTGTTTATGGGGCTCCCTATGGCCGTGCGTCCGGGAGGGTGGGAGCGGGGCGGGACTCTCCTCTCTTCCCTGTCACTGAGCACAGTCCTAGGAGCAGAGGACCGTGGGTAATCTAATCACCGTCTCCTAGACGGTGGAGCTCCTATCCCGTCCCCATGCCCCGAGCTCCAGAGCGAGGGATCGGGAACAGTCAGCACCCTCTGAGACAGAAATGGACTAGTTAGGTTCTGGGAAGCCCCAGGCGGGTGTAGGGGGGGTCCCTCACTTCTTATGGACACTATGAACTACTTCATATTAAAACTGCTCCTGGCCACAAGGATTTTGCTGGAGACATCATTTGCTGGCGGAGTTATTCAGATAACAAGTCATTTTACACTTTGGAAAAGAGGTAATAACATCGTTTGGTCTCGTACAGATTTTCAGAATTACCTGAGGACTCAGACGGGCAACAACACCACCGTGAACATCATCATCTCCACTGTGGACTACCTGCTGCGGGTGCAGGTACGCGGCCTCATGGCGAGTTAGAGGGGCTGCTTGGCCGAGATAACACGGCGGGTTCCTGGGTGAGGCTGCGTGTCTCACGGGGCTTTGGTCTCCTGTCAGGGCTTGTCAGACGTTCCGCCTTTGATCCCTCTCTGACCCAGCCTCCGGGTGAGCGGCCACCTGGCTGTCTCTGATCCTGGCTCCACTTCCCTCATTATGTCCTTTCTACAGTGCGGATTTTTCCCCATGGTTTTTAGCTTTGGTGGCATTTGAAATTTTCTTTTCATTTTGTCAAGCCCTGACATGCTGTGCTCCCCTTTGCAGCTGATGGATAAATAGGGGAAGGATATTTAGAACATTCTCAGGAATGGGAAAGAAAGGCTTTCAGACCACCTAGATACTTAAATTTAATAACCTCAGGTTTGATCCTTTCAGCTGTCCTAATATTATTTTTATTCACTTCCCAATCTGTTATGTAGAACGATTTCCTGTTACAGATTTCAGAGCTGAACAGGCCAGCCTTGGCCTCACACTGTGCCTTCCCCCTCGGCCTCTCTTCCAGGAGTCCATCAGTGATTTCTATTGGTACTACTCGGGGAAAGACGTGATCGATGAGCAAGGACAGCGGAACTTCTCCAAAGCAATTCAAGTAGCAAAACAAGTGTTTAACACCCTCACAGAGTATATCCAGGTAAACACATACCCACTTCTGCTATTTAGAGAAAGAAGGAAAACAGGAGTCAACCGATTACCCTGGAATCCCATGGGAAAAGGCAACAGGATAAAAGCCCTTTCCTGTCACCATCCCATGGCTGATGGACCTCGTCTGCAGATCCTTAGCCAGGGATGATGACCACAAGGTTCGGTGGAGATGGGATCTTCACGGAACGACTTGCTTTATCCTTTGGCGGACTGAGGGGTCCTTAACTCCTCGGGGCGTGGCCCATGGTGTTGACTGAGGTCTCCAGGGCCTGGTGTATAAACAGCTCACAGCCAGCATTAAGGGAGTCGGTGGAGATGGGATCTTCACGGAACGACTTGCTTTACCCTTTGGCGGACTGAGGGGTCCTTAACTCCTTGGGGCGTGGCCCATGGTGTTGACTGAGGTCTCTCCAGGGCCTGGTGTATAAACTAAGCTCACAGCCAACATTAAGGGATGGGGAGGAGGGCATTGAACCACTTGACCATATTCCAGGAAAAGCGAGGAAAAAGTGTCATGGAGACTTTATAAAAAAGAAGAGACTGGTGCTTAACAGCTTCATGTTAGTGTGTGTGTGATTTTATAATATAACCATGTATGATATAGGTAAAATTCCAAATACTATGAGGAATATACCTTTCTTAAATATTGGTTTGTTTTATGTTCTCTAGGCCACATTTGTCTTAACCTGCAAATTTTGAAAAGATTTTATAAAATTCTGTGTGTTTTTTCCAACCAGCCACACTTTGCTGTTTCCTGGAGGCCAGTCCGTCCTCTTTCCTTCCTCCCTTCTCCATGGGCGGGGTTAGCAGTACCTCTGTGTCAGGGAGCCGCTGGGCACCGTGCCCCGTGCTGAGGGCAAACAGGAGAGAGGGGTGGTAGTTTGCTTCCTTGGACTGAGCATAATCTTGGGGGGGGAGGTTATGTAAAATAGCAGCCACATGCCCGGATGTGGCGAGGGACAGGTGTGGTAGGACAGGTGAGTGAGTGCCTGTCTCCTGAGGGCACCCTTATCATCACTGCACAGTTTACATTTTGGGGTCTTTCTTTTCAGTGTTGGTGATAAGAGATGTTAATTTTGCCCCTATTGTTGGCAGTGACGTTATCAGCAATGATGCCGTTGGTCTGTTTCCCTGTAGGGTCCGTGCACTGGGAACCAGCAGAGCCTGGCCCACAGCCGGCTCTGGGACGCAGTCGTGGGCTTCCTCCACGTGCAGCCACATGCCCGGATGTGGCGAGGGACAGGTGTGGTAGGACAGGTGAGTGAGTGCCTGTCTCCTGATGGCACCATTGTCGTCACCATACAGCTTACATTTTGGGGTCTCTCTTTTCAGACCATGTGTTGGTGATAAGAGATGTTAATTTTGCCCCTATTGTTGGCAGTGACGTTATCAGCAATGATGCCGTTGGTCTGTTTCCCTGTAGGGTCCGTGCACTGGGAACCAGCAGAGCCTGGCCCACAGCCGGCTCTGGGACGCAGTCGTGGGCTTCCTCCACGTGTTTGCCCACATGCAGATGAAGCTGTCCCAGGTAAAGGCACCGCCTCCCGCCCTCCTAGATGCCAACGGGGACAGCAGTCACTCGCACACAAAGCATGCTCTCCCTTATTTCACATCACCTTTCTTAGCTTACTTCTTTATACGTCTTGTACTCCACATTTAAACACATTTTCTTAAATGAAAGATCTGTATACACCCTGGCCAGTGTGGCTCAGTGGGTTGGAGCGCTGTTCCATGCACCAAGGCACATACCCAGGTTGCTCTTTCTATCCCTGGTCGGGGGCAACTGATCAATATTTCTCTCTCACATCAATGTTTCTCTCCCTTCCCTCTTTCTCTTGAATCAGTGAGAACATGTCCTAGGGTGAGGATTAAAAAAATTTTAATAATTTTATGCAAGCTGAGAATAGATGAGCGCTATCATTCAAATTTGAGAGCAAAAGATACTGAAGACTTGACTATAGGAGAAATAAAAGAGTTTAGTCCCCAGTGTTGAGCATTTGCAACCCTTCGGGGACCCACGTCTCCATGACACTCACCGAAGCTCCCTCCTCCCTGCCAATGAGGAAGAGTTTAGTCCCCAGTGTTGAGCATTTGCAACCCTTGGGGGACCCACGTCTCCATGACACCGAATCTCCCACCTCCCTGCCGATGAGTGGACACGGATTTGAAATCCGCCAGGCCCCGTGGAAGGGAGAGGTGTGCATATGGGGTCCACACAAGCAGCTGGCCTCCATAGAGGAACTCACCCACAAGCAGGAAAATCAGCTTCATGAAAGTCAAAGAGAGGAAGTAGCTCTAAGGATAAGCCAATAAACATAGATTCTCGGCTTCTCCTTGGTCCTGAGATGCTGGGAGGGGTCGCCGTGGGTGGAGCCGCGCCTCCGGGGGAGCCCTCAGGTTCCTGCTGCATTTGCTGCGACGGTGTCCAACGCCACATGTTGCTCTTTCCAGGATTCCAGTCAAATCGAGCTCCTGAAAGAGCTGATGGACCTGCAGAAGGACATGGTGGTCATGCTGCTGTCCATGTTGGAAGGTAGCCTCGGCTTCGTGTCTGTTTGTACTTAGAGGTTTACATTGTGCAACCCGCATCGCCTTGGTTCTTCTACTTAAAGGGCCAGTATTCAGCTTCCACCCCCAGAGAGGACAGAGGCCCGGGTTTATTGGGGGCTTTATAAACTTTTCTCAGGTTCGTGTTTAAGAAAGAGACATTGTCCATGAGGAATGATTTTTCAACCCTAAAGGGCTTTGCGAAGGCTCATTTTTACTGTTAATATGAGGCTGGGTTTCAGTTTCTGCCCATTTTCTTTATCCTAAAACATGACCAATTTGAGGGGGAAAGGCCGGCTTCTGTTCAAATATCCCTCCATGGTTATTAGTCGGCATGGTGTTGCGCGTGTTTGTGTAATTACAGTGACTGGCTGACTCCTGGGGCCTCACACACTGGAGGAGGCCCAGGGCTGTGCCTGATGCGGGGCTGGGAGGCCTGTGCTGCTGCTGTCTCTGCGGACGGTGCTCACTGTGAATCAGTGCCACGTGTTTGTGTAATTACAGTGACTGGCTGACTCCTGGGCCTCACATACTGGAGGAGGCCCAGGGCCGTGCCTGACGCGGGGCTGGGAGGCCTGTGCTGCTGCTCTCTCTGAGGACGGTGCTCACTGTGAATCAGTGCCTTTGTCTGCCTGCAGGTAACGTCGTGAACGGGACCATCGGCAAGCAGATGGTCGACATGCTTGTGGAGTCGTCCAACAACGTGGAGATGATCCTCAAATTCTTCGACATGTTCTTAAAACTAAAGGACTTGACCTCTTCTGACACGTTTAAGGAATACGACCCCGACGGCAAGGGCGTCATCTCCAAGAGGGACTTCCACAAAGCGATGGAGAGCCACAAGCACTACACGCCGTCGGAGACCGAGTTCCTGCTGTCCTGTGCGGAGACGGACGAGAACGAAACCCTGGACTACGAGGAGTTCGTGAAGCGCTTCCACGAGCCGGCCAAGGACATCAGCTTCAACGTGGCCGTGCTGCTGACCAACCTCTCGGAGCACATGCCCAACGACTCGCGGCTGCAGACCTTCCTGGAGCTGGCGGAGAGCGTGCTGCGCTACTTCCAGCCCTTCCTGGGCCGCATCGAGATCATGGGCAGCGCCAAGCGCATCGAGCGCGTGTACTTCGAGATCAGCGAGTCCAGCCGCACGCAGTGGGAGAAGCCGCAGGTCAAGGAGTCCAAGCGCCAGTTCATCTTCGACGTGGTCAACGAGGGCGGCGAGAAAGAGAAGATGGAGCTCTTCGTGAACTTCTGCGAGGACACCATCTTCGAGATGCAGCTGGCGGCCCAGATCTCCGAGTCGGACCTGAGCGAGCGGCAGGCCAGCAAGGAGGAGAGTGAGAAGGAGAAGCCGGAGGAGCAGAGCCCGAGGACGGGCTTCTTCTCCCTGCTGACCGTCCGCTCGGCCCTGCTGGCGCTCAGGCACAACCTGCTGACGCTCCTGCGCATGCTCAGCCTGAAGAGCCTGAAGAAGCAGATGAAGAAGGTGAAGAAGATGACGGTGAGGGACATGGTCACGGCGCTCTTCTCCTCCTACTGGGGGGCGCTGGCGAGCCTGCTGCACGTGGTGGCCAGCGTGCTGCGCGGCTTCTCCCGCATCGTGGGCAGCCTGCTCCTGGGGGGCAGCCTGGTGGAGGGCGCGAAGAAGATCAGGGTGGCGGAGCTCCTGGCCGACATGCCGGACCCCACGCAGGACGAGGTGCGGGACGACGGGGAGGAGGGCGAGCGGAAGCCGCTGGAGGCCGCCCTGCCCTCGGAGGACCTCACCGACCTGAAGGAGCTGACGGAGGAGAGCGACCTGCTCTCCGACATCTTCGGCCTGGACCTGAAGCGGGAAGGGGGGCAGTACAGACTCATCCCTCATAACCCCAACGCTGGCCTCAGCGACCTCATGAGCAACCCAGACCCCGTTCCCGAGGCGCCAGAGAAAGTGCAGGTACCGGAGCCCCGTCGCGGCAGCTCGGGCCCAGGGGCACCTTGTGAGTCAGTGGGCGTCCAGGCTGGCACTCCGGGGTCCAGTACGAGCCTGTGTTTCCAGAGAGAGTGGCCTTTTGGTCAGCAGAGCTGCCTCTGGAGGTCCGTTACCAGTTACTGAATTATCTTAACGAGTAGGTGTGAACCGAGCACTCACGCAGACGACATTAGGCAATGAAACAGGGGTCCATCCACAGGTACTTGACCCGGCTCGCCACGTGTCTGCCGCTGGCCGTCAGAGGGAACACTCCTGACAGAACTAGAAAAGCATTCGTGCTGGTGGGCGACAGGGTCCCACACGTGGCGTGAATGAGGCGGCAATGTGTTGGCAGTGGTTGGAGCAGATCTGAGCAGTGGGACTTAGTTGGCGTAGGATTCGAGCAGGTGGTTGAGGAAATGAGAGGAAAGTGGAGGCACCCAGAGCAGCACCGGTGCTCTGGGGGTGGGGGGTGGAAGGGAAGCGCAAGTGCGATCTTCACCGAGGCAGGGGTCGCTTAGAGGTCGCCATTTGGCGCCTGGGCACAGGGCTCCCTAAACTCATCCCAAGGAGGTGTGTGACCTGCTTTTCTTCCCCTTCACTTCAAGGAACAGGAGACAAAAGAGGAAGAAAAGGAAGAAAAAGAAGAAAACAGATCGGAACCCGAGAAAGCCGAGTACGTGTGGTTTCCTGGTTGGCTGGCGCTCTCTCTCCAGGGCACAGAATGGAGACTCTGTCCTCTGGGGACAGGCTCAGCACCAGGACCTCCGTGCCGGGGCATCAGTGTGGGCACCGCCCGCCCAGGGCCAGGCCAGCCTCGCCCTCCGGTCTCATCGCCGTGACCCGCAGCAGGGATGCCGCGTGGTTCCTCGGGACACCTCCCAGAGCCAAGGGCCCAGCTCTGGTGTAACTGCACATGGGATTCCGTCCTGGAAACAGTGCGGGCTCCATCCCCAGTGGGGGGCGTGCAGGAGGAAGCGGATCGATGGTTCTCTCTCATCATTGATGTTTCCCTCTCTCTCTCCCTTCCTCTCCCTGAAATCAATCAAAACATCTTTTAAAAATGTTAGCTATACCTCCTGTGGGTGAGGTTAGGTGGGTTATGTATCCGTGGGTTTTGGATATGAGTCCGTCTGCATAAATACACTGCCATGGAGGGTTGGTTTGCTGCAGCTACAGGGGTTTTAGGCATCAAATTTTAGGACTGCTAATTTCATTATCATGTGAAAAATTAATATCCTGACATCCTTTCTATATGTGAACCACCAAATGCATGTCTCTGACATTAAGTCCTAAAGCTTAGTCACTGTTCCAGGTTGACTGTTAAAATCCTAATTCAGAAGTTAGGCAGGCTGGGGGTTTTCACTGTTACTCTCTTTTCGGTGCGATGTCTTATTGCACAGTGGGAAGGGGAGGTGCTCTGTACAGATACAGAGACATGCCAGCCTGTGACATGCCCTTGAGATTTGAACTTCACAGGATTCCCCACAGGAAGCCAGGGTCACAGAAATCCAACCCCAAATTCTAAAATTGAACTATTACAGTTCATTGGAGGAGAAAGTTTTCAAAAATGATGCTGTAATTTGAATGTGTGTTCATTTGTATATTTTGGCACAAAGCCCGTTAGTTCTTTCGTCTTTTGCCGGCTTATGTGTACTCGCCTGTTCCCAGGGGAGAAGATGGAGAGAAAGAAGAAAAGGCCAAAGACGAGAAGGGCCGGCAGAAGCTGCGGCTGATCCACACGCACAGATACGGGGAGCCCGAGGCCCCCGAGTCCGTGTTCTGGAAGAAGATCATCGCTTATCAGCAGAAGCTTCTGGTGAGCCCTTCAGGGTGAACGTTGCTGTGAGACATGGTGAGACCAGCGAGGCTGGGCCAGTCACTATAATAACTGAGGCTCCACGAGTGTCCGTGGGCTCCCGTGGGCGGCAACCAGGGAACCAAGTCCACCTGCTGGTGCGTTTGGTTGGCTCCGTGAGGACGGACCCGGGACCTCTGCACACGTCACAAACCTGAGACCTTGGATGTGGTGGCTGCCGCACCCCATGTCTCCCCACAGAGTCTAGGACGGGTCTGGGTGTGCACCAGGCTCCCTGCAGACCACCTGCAAGGGAAGTGACCGTCCCCGTGATTAAGTGTTCTCACTGCTTAGGTGCACGTATGGGACATGTTGTATGTACTGCAGGCAGATATGTGTGTGGTAGTAAGTTTTAACTAGGTTTTCTCAGCGGTCTGTACCTCCCCTGTGCTGTTTAGTGCAGAGGACTCTGAGCATAAACGTGTTCTAGAAAGCTCTGGGTGGCCACTCGTGTGGGTGTTGTGGTAGGTGCCATGCTGCAGGTGAGGCTGCAGGTGAGGCCGGGTGTGGGGCATGGGATCGAGTGGGCTCAGCGACACTGGCAGGAGCCCCGTGATTCCTAGGAATGTGTCGGCACCTGTGGGAGGCAGGTACAGAGGGGCTGGCACGGCTCTGCCGCTGGCTGCAGGCCCCTCTCTGCACGGGGGCTTCTCTGCTCACCAGTTTGCATGCACAGACGGGCCATGGTCACCTCAAGCCCAATGTCCCCAGGATTTCATCATCCCGGAGCTCGGTGCCAGAGTGACTGGCCCAGCCTCGCTGATCGGTCCACCCAGGAGGGTGAACAGTGTGACTGGCCCACGCAGCCCAGGGCCTGTGGCAGTGAAGGCAGAGTCCCCTGTGGAAGGGACACCGCCAGCAGGCGTGTGTGCCCGGAGAGGGACAGGAGATGCAGTGCCTGTGACGTGGCCCCTGGCACATCCACACGGGCACCGTGCAGACGCCTCCCGCTTAATATTAAAGCAAGTGCTGATCTCCCAGAGCCTTTTCCTCACACCCACTCTGTCCGGCTCTGTCCAGCTCAGAAAATGGCACCAGCTGTTTCGTTAGGTGCTAAGACCCAAACCCAGCAGTTACCATCTCTGAGTTCTCCCTCTCTTCCACCTCAATACAGCCCAGCAGTAACTCTTCACAGCTCTGTCTTCTAGATGCGTGGAGTCTGCCCCGCGTCCCCATCTCCACGCGCCCCGGCCCAGCCTCCATGGCAGCGGGATCTCTCCCCACACTCCTGCGTGTCCTCCTAGCCCATCCTCTGCTGCCACTCGGGCCCCTCCTCTATTTTCCACACGGACGCTGGGATAATCTTTTCAAATCAGAGTCTGAGGGCATCAAGCCCTCTTCAGATCCTCCGAGAACAAAATAATTCCAACTGTGATAACAGGACTCATAAACTCTCCTCTATTATCGTATCTAATCCTCACAGTGAACCCTTATGAGGAAGGTTCTGGTTTATCTGCACTTCACAGACGAGGGAAATGATGCCACAGCAGTGATTCAGTTCTTGTGCACACCCCCCCCTCGAGGCCCCGGAGATCACTGATCCCACACAGACCTCATCAGGGGCTTGCCACTCCCTCTAGCTCACCCGAACCCCAGCCCCTCCCACACTCCCCCCGCCCCAGGCTTCCTCCTCTCTGTCCTCAGAGGCACCCCCACTGCTCTGACCTCGGGGCTGCCCCTGCGTGCTCCTCTCTCTGACACACATTTGGTCCCCACTTGTTCTTTTGACCTGTTCCCCGGCGACATTTGGCCTCTGCTCACACACCCCGATCCCTCAGCCCGAGCCTGCTGGATTTTCCTCACCGCAGTGAGCATCCCCGAGGTGACGTTCTGCCTGTGGGTGTGTCTCCTCCGTGGTGCCCAGATTTCTAACTCAGTGATGTCCACGGTCTCAAGAATGATGCTTGATACGCACTAGGTGCTCAGGAAGGCGTTTTGGGTAAATGAATGAACGCTTTATTTAATGGTCTGCACATTTCAAGTCTCTTGATTCAGTGACCTTTTCCTTTTTTTCACCTTCAGAACTATTTTGCTCGCAACTTTTACAACATGAGAATGTTGGCCTTATTTGTCGCCTTTGCAATCAACTTCATCTTGCTCTTCTATAAGGTACGTACTTCTTAGTCTTAATAACCAGTGCGACGCTACCGGCGGCCTGAGTGATGTACAGATGTCACAGACCCACCCTGAGCACGTCCCTGACTGTGAGGCGGGGCAGTCCTTCCTGCAGCTCAGTGAGGTTCGGTTCCGCAGAGGCTGGCCGCATGCTCCCCGCCCTGTGCACAGCTCACTCGTGGCTCAGCTGTGACATGCGGTTCCTCTGATCCTGAAGAGGCAGCTGAGCCATCTCAGTCCCCCAACGCGTGGGTCCTGGTAACTCTTGGTTCAGGAGAAGGGTTGGCACAAGCGTGTTAGTGATCTGCTGTCCCAGAAGCATCTGAGAACATACCCCGTGGACCACGCGGAGGGTGGAGAGAGCACCCTTTCCCTGTGCAGGGCCCTCACGCCCAGCCACTGCGGAGAAGGCCGGGTTCCTTGTTTCTCGTTGGCGCCGATACCTAGAGGGAGAGAACTGACCGCGCTCTAACTGGTTTGAATCAGGTCTCCACTTCTTCTGTGGTTGAAGGCAAGGAGCTCCCCCCTCGCAGCGCCAGCGAAAGCGCCAGAGTCAGCAGCCCCGACGACGGCGGTGATGACGCGCCGGGCGTCCTGGCGGTGCACTACGTGCTGGAGGAGAGCAGCGGCTACATGGAGCCCACGCTGCGCATCCTGGCCGTGCTGCACACCGTCATCTCCTTCTTCTGCATCATCGGCTACTACTGCCTGAAAGTAAGCCGTGCCGGGCACTGTGGCCGCGCTTGGGGAAGCGGGATCTGGGGTGGAAATTACATGCACGGAGCTTATTCGGAATGTTCCAGAAAGCCACACCTGTGGACAGTGGGAGGGAGCAGGGGCCGCCGAGGGGATCATGGACGGGGTAGACGCACGGGGCAGATGGCTGGTTGTCCTGGCTGGGCCCGGGGGCCTGGCCACTGGACTCCACACTGACCAGGCGTGGCTGCGGGCTGCCCTGGGGCAGGCTGGCCTGGGGGGTCTGACTGGAGCTTCCTTTCACACACACAGTGGCCCGTGTCACCTGTAACCACCCTGCGGGAGGGGCCCAGGCACCGTCTCCCCTAGCAGTGCTCCCGGAAGCGTGTTAGGGTGATAGGATGCCCCCTGGAGCCTCGCAGTCATGGTGACTCTTCTGACCTCAGGAGCTCTCCGCTGCCCTCCTGGGCACAAAGGTTTCCCAGTTTGTCTCACTTCCCCGGGAGGTGATGCTGCTCCCAGACGCCTGCAGGGAGCAGTGTCGTCGGGTGAACGCACCCAGGAGGGGGCCTGAGTGCGCAGGGCTGCCCATTTCCTGGGGACTCTTCATCTTGCCTAGCAAGACCCCTCCTCTCAGACCCAGGGCCAGGGCGAAGGCCAGCAACCTTCTCCTCTCCACCTCCTCCCGGTCCATGGGGGTGTTCTCGGACACTTCTGGAATGTCCGCGTCTTCCCTGTGTAAAGTCTGTCCATGGGAAAGGGGCTTCAGTATGTTCTGAAGACATCTTGAAAACGGACAAAGAATTTTCCTGATGTTGAAATTAAAATTATTTCACAATAACGTGGTCACACTGAGCAAGGGATTATTAAAGAGATTTCTCAAATTAAATTGCGTTTTTTAAAAGCATGCATTCTGGAAGCTTAGTAAATGGTTATACTTTATTGCCCTCGTGTCTGCTGCTACCATATATATGCATCTATAATACGCCAAAGAAAAACAGTTTTGTGTAACCTTTCTCTCTTTATTATTTAAAAGTGACTTAGTTACTTATGAACGTCTGTGTTTAAAAACACACTGTACATATAATATCTATTCTCTCTCTTGTTTTTCCAAGACCTTGCGATGCTTGTTCCTAAGTATAGCTGATTCACTTTCATTCCATTTGTACTTTCCTGGGAGTAACGGGGGAAATGCTTCTCTCCTAAAGCTGGATTGTGATGACAGTGGCCACAGGAGATGCCAGTACCTCTGAACTAATTTAATACGTTTCTTCTTCCAATGTAGGTCCCGCTGGTTATTTTTAAGCGCGAAAAGGAAGTCGCTCGGAAATTGGAATTTGACGGGCTTTACATTACAGAGCAGCCTTCAGAAGACGATATTAAAGGCCAGTGGGATCGACTCGTAATCAACACACAGTGAGTAAAGAGCACGCGAGGCCTTCGGCGCTCACAGGTTTCCACACATGAAGTCCTTTGGCAGAGTTTCCCGCGTTCTATCAGAAGTCGGCAGAGTGATTAATGGGTGTTTATTCAGCCAAGAAAATCAAAGGCTCGGCGCCCTCAGCCCCTGGTGGAGGCCATCAGTTCTTGCATCTGCGTTCCGGTTCCTTCATCAGAGGGGCTTTGAGTCGGTCCCCAGCCCCGTGGGCTTTGCCTCCATCACTCAGAGTTCGGGGAAGGGTGCAGGGGCTGGGACCTGCGTGCAGGGTTATCTCACCAGAAGCACAGAGGAGCAGAGCCGTTCATTACGATAGGAGCGGTAGCATTAGAGACAGAGATACTGAATTTCACGTTTTTAATGTAAACTTTCCGTCGGTGCCGTCAGGCAGCCTGTGGACAACTAGCTGAGCATCAGGACGTGCGAAACAGAAGACAGCAAACATGCTCTTCTGCACACGCGTTGTTCAGCTGTGTAGGTCAGGAGCTGCAGGCTGCTGTGCAGGTGTCAGCCCACCCCAGCAGTTTCCCGCCGTTGACAGTGTCCGTATTTTCAGAGTCGTTTGCAGTTCTCAAGAGGGAAATGCCTCCTTTTTATCAGTTTAGTGATTCATTTTGCTTATTTTTAAGAAGTTATTTCCATAGGTTCTTGATTTTCACATGGGGGTGCTTTGTTTGTGGAGAGCACCGTAGACATGGGCTCCGAATGCCGTGTTTCGTTTAGCACTCGAGGTGCTAAGTCACATCCCGCCCTCCCTCCCAGTGCGTCCCGCCCTGGCCCCGTGCCAGGCCACGCAGGGCCCCGGTCCACGTCGCCTTGAGGATAACCGGTGCAAAGGGGCTGCTTTCCCTCCGGAGGAAAAGCAGTGACAGGTTTTGAGATCCTTTAAAGGCACTTGACAACGCAATCTGTAAATAGATGAGAAAACACAACCGTCAGCTGGCTGACAAATATGCTCATGTTCTTCTCCATTATGTGCATGTACAGTATTTATATATTAACATTTAAAGTAATATTTGATGTGCCCACAATGCAGAAAAATTATAGGATAAGATGGGAAACAAATTCATTACAATTTTCAGGAATGGAAAATATGTTTGCATATTATTTTAAATATTTTCTATATTGCAAGCAGTATGTTGTGATTTATCATACTTTAAAATAATACTCTTTTTTTCTATGCTTTTCTATCTTTTAGGTCATTTCCCAACAACTACTGGGACAAATTTGTCAAAAGAAAGGTAATACTTCTTAGAAGGAATAAATTCAGTATTTTCCCCCCCAAAATGCAATTCAGATTTGAACTGATGTAGCTCCTGTGTAGAAAGAGATCCTGGGGTACGTTCTCTGCCTGTTACTGTCATGGCAAAGAGCAGTGGAGTCGAATGTGAATTCAGCACTTGTGGCAAGGGGCCCATCCTCTGGGGCTCCATCCCCCGCGCCCTGACAGTGACTCTGCGGGCTCACCCGTATTACCCACAGCTGGTGGGGTTCCCTAGTTCGCTCGCTCCGGTACCCACACCAGCCAAGGCCCCTTGCAGTTAGAGCGCCGACAGATCAGGCGCGGTCCCCCTTTCCCTCAAAGAGGTAAAGGTGTTGGCCGGCAACAGAGAACTGCATTCTATTTTCTTTATAGCATCTTTCAAGGTCTTACTTTTGTGAAGTTTTATTCTTCTGATGCCGACAGCATCGGGGTGGTAGGAAGCAGCTGAGACGGAGCTCAGCTACGGACCCAGCACAGAGCTCCATCAGGAGAGTGGAGGGCTGCTCAGGTGGCAGTGCAGGCAGCTGCTCAGCGCAGAGGCAGGCAGCTCGGGGCAGGCTTCTCCCTGACGTGCAGTTTTGCAGTTTGCGTGAGAGGCTGTGAGGCTGTTTTTTAAAATTTGAGTTTAGTTAAGTCACTGAGAGCCCTTCTTAGTAGATACTTTCTTGCTCAGGGTCCACAGTCATCAACTAGACTTTAAAGTGAACTTCAAAATAAGACAAATATGTAGTAACTATAAAAGTAATTAGATGTTTTATGCACACACAGAGCTGAGCTAAGCTAATGGTTGAGGCTCTTTTCTTGCTGTCTCCCAGGTTATGGATAAATACGGCGAGTTCTATGGCCGGGACAGAATCAGCGAGTTGCTTGGCATGGACAAAGCCGCCCTGGACTTCAGCGACGCCCGGGAGAAAAAGAAGCCCAAGAAAGACAGCTCCCTGGCGGCGGTGTGAGTGTCCCTGCTCTGCACCAGCTGGAAGGAGAAACAGTGATAGCATTTGGCCTTGCAGGAGCCTTGGTCTCCTTCCCTCCGGGTCAGAGGGACCGGGAGACAGAGAGCAGAGTGGACACAGTCTACTCTATACCTCTGGCTATTTTGAGCTACGAATGATTGGATTTTTTCTATTAATTTTTGAAGGTGCCTTTTTCATTTTCTTTTAGAAATATATTTTATTGATTTCAGAGAGGAAAGGAGAGGGGGAGAGAGATAGAAACATCAATGATGAGAGAGAATCATGGATTGGCTGCCTCCTGCACGTCCCCGCTACTAGGGATGGAGCCCGCAACCCGGGCAAGTGCCCTGCCCAGGAATTGAACCGTGACCTCCTGGTTCAAGGTCGATGTTCAATCACGGAGCCATGCTGGCCGGGCTGAAGATGCCTTTTTCATTATGTACATAAAACAACAACAACAAATGCTCTTAATTTAACTTGCCTTTTCTTTCCTTAAGCCAAAGTAAAACATATGCAAAAGTGCAATATATGACTATGTTTTCTGATACTTCTTGTTTGGAAAAATGTTTATTTTCGTAAGTTTTGGAAAAGGGATCTATGTAGCCCTTTTGTTTTTTAAAATATGTTTTTTATTGATTTTTAGAGAGAGTGGGGAAGGGAAACATCGATGAGAGACAAACGGGAAATTCAGACATCCCGACGTCACCCTGACTCCGTTGTAGGTTGCTCTGGGGGAAACGAATCATGCTCTCAGGGCGCTCTGGGTGCTGCAAGCCTCCGGGGTGTGGATCTGGGATAAAACTAATGTCCCGGGACGGTGCCAGGCTCATCCCTGGCATCTGCTTCATGGGCACATCGGCACATTCTTTGTCTTTCCAGACTGAACTCCATCGACGTGAAGTATCAGATGTGGAAACTCGGAGTTGTTTTCACTGACAATGTAAGTTACGGCAGAGTGCAGGCAGTCCGGTGACCGAGGCTGCCGGCTGCAGATGTTACTAACGTTCTTCGAAATCAGTTCACTTAATGCAGAGCACAGCTGGGCAAGACCCAGGGGATACGTGATCAATCGCCTGTCTATCATTCCCTTTCTTCCAGTAGCTGAGATGAAAACAAACATATCTTTACACAAGAAAAAACTGAGATGCGAAGTTTGTGTAGTTTCATTTAGGTTTCAGTTGGGCGGGGCATCCTTCAACGTTTAGTAGATGTTAAAAGGAAAGTTCTAAATACATAAAAAGAATTTAAATACTAACTATGATAAATTTTAGTTACTCCCAAATTAAATAATTATTCTGTTGAACCTGGGTTTATCAAAGAGCCTCAGAGCCTATGAAATAAACAGAAGGACCAAGTTAGGTGCCCACAGACAGTGAAAAAAAATCTCTTATTACCAAAAGCTACCTGCTATCGGCAGCTGATCCTATTTCTCCATCCTGGTTTGCTCAACCGTGTCACAGTTTTTGTTCTTGAAGTTTTCAGATTAAATAATTGTTCCTATCAGTTGTCGTCCCGTTTGCTGGGTGTGGGAAGTCGCTGGAGACTTCCTGAGACGGCTGAACGGTGAACCAGGCATGTTCGATGTCGGATGTCAGCCAGCATCCCAGACCTCTCACCAGCCTCTCACCCGGCCTTGTGCTCCGGCTGCGGCTTCTCCCGTGGGCAGCTCGTTTCCTCTTAAAGTCTCACTTTAATTTTAGCACTGACTTCCCTAGTGAACACGAGTTCCACTCTCCCAAAGACTGGTGACACCCCCAAGTTCTCCTGCCTCTACCCCCACCTCACTCAGCCACGAGCCCGGACGCCAGGGACCTTAGAGACTCTCCTGAGGCCCCAAACCCTGGCTGTGTGTCTTGGAACTGTCACCTGTTCGTAAGGCGTCTTGCAGCTAATTTCTCTCTACTAGTGGAGGCCACTCCCTGATTGTATAATTAGAATTCTGTAAATTTGTAGTCTAAGAAGGCGAAGTAAACGGAGTGGCTGCACTAGAGTGAAACCAGCACTGGGACCGTAGTCACGGGCTCTGTTCTCTGACCCACGTGTGTCCCTTCCCGTCCGCAGTCCTTCCTGTACCTGGCCTGGTACATGACCATGTCCGTGCTGGGGCACTACAACAACTTCTTCTTTGCTGCTCATCTTCTCGACATCGCGATGGGGTTCAAGACGCTGAGGACCATCTTGTCGTCAGTAACGCACAATGGCAAGCAGGTGAGAGGGTTTTAGAAGATCTTTTCAACTGTGGCATTTCACAGGGAAAAAGTTGGCCTTCAAAACATTGTTGGTATCAGCTATTAAAGTGTCTTTCACTTTGATCATTGCTTTATGTTAGCAAAACAGGATATATATTTATAAATATTTATATTATATATCATTAATAGTGTGTATTTCCAGATGTTTGAAGCAATGCGAATTTCTATTTAGTTTTAGGATATGGAAACTGAAGGGTCCCGGGTTCGATTCTGGTCAAGGGCATGTACCTTGGTTGCAGGCTCCATCCCCGGCCTTGGGGGCCTGTGTTGTGGGAGGCAACCAATCAATGTGTCTCTCTCACATCGAAGTTTCTCTCTCTCTCTCTCTCTCTCTCTCTCTCTCCCTCCCTCCCTTCCACTCTCTCTAAAAATCAATGAAAAAATCATTAATCAGATGAGGATTAATAAAAAATACATATATTTGATTTATAATCAGTCTTAATGAGATAGTTTTAATTGGAATGTATATTAAAGACATTATAAAAGGAAATAATAATGTAGTACCTACTGTCAGATATTTAGATGATAGAAAAATGAAGATTTTAAGCAGCTTATTATTATCAATTTGGATATGAAGTTAAAACAGTTGATTTATATTCCAGCTCTAGGATGCATTTATTAACTAAGGAATCAAGTTTTACATAAAATATCCGACACCTTCATAAAATAAAGAGAATATGAAAACAGTTCCTCCCGGGTGGTGGGAAAGGCCTCTAGTCGCCTGGCTGGTGTGGTTCAGTGGTTGAGCGTCCACCTATGAACCAGGAACTGTGAGGTCACAGTTCGATTCCTGGTCAGGGCACACGCCTGGGTTGCTGACTCAATCCCCATTGTGGGGCATGTAGGAGGCAGCCGATCGATGATTCTCTCTCATCATAGATGTTTCTCTCTCTCCCTTCCTCTCTGAAATCAATGAAAATATATATTAAAAAAAGAAAAGAGAGGCATCTGGTCAGTGAGTCCAGCTCGTGCCAAGCCCCACACAGACATCCCTCCCACAGCCGCCCTGTCTCGTGTCCTAACACGCGCTCGATGTCCCGTTGCTTTCCAGCTGGTGTTAACCGTGGGCTTATTAGCCGTTGTCGTGTACCTGTACACGGTTGTGGCATTCAATTTCTTCCGAAAATTCTACAATAAAAGTGAGGATGGAGACACACCAGATATGAAATGTGACGACATGCTGACGGTAAGTTCATGCTGTGTGGTCTCGTGTGGATGAAGATGCGTCCGCGCCTCAGTCTAAGTAATGCGTGCAGTTCCTCTTTAACGGTGCTGAGCAGGAGCAGGTGCACATCAGAGCACCACCATCCTGCTCGTTAGAGCGCATGCAGCCCATCCACACATTCTCTTCCCTGTAGAGGAAACCCACATGGAAAGCCAAAATGTAACCCAAAAGTCATGATCAGGAGGACGGGCTTACACAGACGTGTCCCCTGAGCAGGGCCTGGCAGGCGAGGCATCCCGGGCCCCCCCCGGGGGGGGGGGGGGGGGGGGGGGAAACCTGGGAGCCAGAACTGGACCTGGAAGAGTGCTGGGAAGGGCCAGGAAATTGTCCAGTGAGCCCTGTGCCCACGGGGGCGCTGCAAATGGAGCAGAGGAGGTGAAGCCGGGCAGGTGGCAGGCGGGCAGGTGGCCGGCGGCCGCTGTTAGTCGTTAAGTAAGGAGGTGCAGCTGCAATGGTGACGTGACCCATTCCCTGTCGTGTGAAGACAGATTTGGAGAAAAACATATCCAAGTTCTTTCCTAATGAGAATATCTGTGGTGAAAGCCCCCAGCAGCGACTGCTGCGGTGGGTGGTGCAGGAACCCGGCTGAGCCTGTGTGTGCAGGCAGCTGGATGGGAGGCGGGTGTTTGCATCACGTTACAGGTTCTGAAACCGGGACAGGGAGCGAGAGCGCAGCACTGAGGTCCCCAGGATTAGGACTTTGATTAGAGAGAGAGGTGAGGCTGTGGGGGTGAGAGCCCCTGTCCTCGGGGGCGTGTCCTCGGCAGGGGCCCTCTCTCCGCAGTGCTACATGTTCCACATGTACGTGGGGGTGCGAGCTGGAGGCGGCATCGGCGATGAGATTGAGGACCCGGCGGGCGATGAGTATGAGATCTATCGGATCATCTTCGACATCACCTTCTTCTTCTTCGTGATTGTCATCCTCTTGGCGATAATACAAGGTAACCCTCCTCCCGGGTACCAGGCGAGCTGGAACCTGAGCCCCCAGCGTCCACAGCCGCTGAGCGGGCTGGTGTTTTCGGGGGAGCCAGCGGGCTTTTCCACCCAGAGCCTGGGTGCGTCGGGTCCCGGGGAAGGTGGGCCATGGACACGAGGGAAAGAGCCTCGCCTGGCCCTGCCGCCAGCCCTGCTGTGAGCGTTACAGCCCCGAGGGGCGCCCATCAAACGTTATCAGTCTCTGAGCCCTCAAATACTTAACAATATTTTAAAATATTTTTTAAATGAGGCACTTGGCGAGCCCTGTGGGAGGGTGGTGCTATTCACACTGGAAGGAAGGAGCCCTAACACGTCTAAGTCACGCCCGGCACCACTGAGGTGTCAGGGCCGGAGCAGGACCCGAGCCTCAGGACCAGCCAGGCCCACCTGGCCCCACGGCACCTCGGGGTGTGGTTTCTCCCTCAGAAAACGCTCCGGATCTTTGCCGCTCACGCCGGTGTCCTGGCCGGAGTGAAGTGTCGCTACCTATGATATTACGTCTAAGTGCTCCAGCATAAAGGGGTGCTTTTCTCAGTGACGAGCATGGACAGGCCTCACAGACTCACGCCCCATTCTCCATGTCGTCACCGAGTGTCACCATAACGCGTTTAATTCGAGGGCAGAGCCATAGGACACGTGGGAGAAAGGGCGCGCCAGCACCCCAGGAGGGAAGCAGCTGGGGAAGTTTACTTTTAGGGAACGTGGGGGGAAATGATTGGTAGCTCATTCCTCCCAGTGAACGTGGCCACGCTGGGTTTCCAGACATGAGTGAGCAGCACATTAGGCCATTTTCTGGGCTTCATGAAGCCGCTGTTTTTGGCATGAAGTTGCTGTGACAGTCTGATTGGTGTCGGCCCCGTCACTGCGCACATGTCTTCCCCACAGAGAGGAGGCCCAGCCCTGGGGGAGCACTGGGGTGCACACGGGGGTCCCCACTGCTGAGCGGTGCCCATTGTGGCTGCACACGCTCCCTCCCAAGGGAGGGTCAGCCGGGGTTTGCGAAGTTGATGATGATTCTCTGGTGGATGAAGACTAAACCGTGTCTTTACTTAACACCAGGTTTAATCATCGATGCGTTTGGGGAACTGAGAGACCAGCAGGAGCAGGTCAAGGAGGACATGGAGGTCAGTGTCCCGTTTCTGCCACGTGCATGATGGGTGCGCCCCTCCCCTCACTGCCTTCGCCACGGAGTCCTGCATGTGTGAGCAAGGGGGGGGGGGAGGGCAGGCACGCGCCTGAGCCGTGTGCTGGGCTGGACCTGGGGGGCCCTGGGCACGTCACCCCTCGAGGGACGGAAGACCATTCAGAAGGATGGGTTCCCGGGGACCCTTAAGGATGCAGCCTGAGTGCCAGGTCTGACTTCCCCGTCGATGTTCAGGGGAGGTCCTAACGGAAAGGGTCCCAGGCTGAGGCCTGAAGATTTGAGAGAGAGCAGGGCATCTGGCAGCCTCCTTCCCGCTGTACACACACACACACACACACAGACACACACACACACACAGACACACACACACACACACATCTCCAGGGGCACTGCCCTCATGAGATTCCATGGGATGGTCACTACCCAGGTTGTACACACCAGGATTCGGGTCTTAGGGAATTTGAAGTGCAGATTTTTTCTTGGAAGCATAAGTGGTTCAGGTGAATTAGTACATCCTGGGGCTGGGGCTGGGGATGTGAGGGCTGCGGGAGCCCAGCTGCTGAAGAGGGGTTTGCAGTGTGAGATAAGAAAGGGGCAGTGAGGCGATGGACTTTACCAGGTAACTATGGTCTAAAATGCAGGGGGTGAACAGGACCAGGGCAGGCCATGGCCAGCAGCATTTTCCAGTCGGAGGTGATGAGGTTTTTGCTAAGAAGTGCCCCTGAGGGCCCAGGAGCTAGTTGGACACAAGCAGCCTCAGGCCTCGGCATGGAGAGACCTGGGCCTGGCCGAGGCAGAGGGCGAGGAGTTGGGGCAGCAGGTTATCGGGTACGCGCAGCGGCTGCCGTGGTGAGCTGTAGCCTTGGTTCTGCCTTCTGAACGCTGGTGTTTCCGTCTTCCCTTCGTCTTCTAGACCAAGTGCTTCATCTGTGGGATAGGCAACGACTACTTCGACACGGTGCCGCACGGCTTCGAAACCCACACCCTGCAGGAGCACAACCTGGCCAACTACCTGTGAGTGTGCCCGTCCGCCCCCCCTCACCCCGTGCCCCCCGGCCTCTCCCGGGGCCTGCGGATGCCGACATTCCCACGGTCACTCTGACTCGTCTCTGTCTCGCAGGTTTTTCCTGATGTATCTCATCAACAAGGACGAGACGGAACACACGGGGCAGGTAGGCAAGGGTGACCCAGCCTGAAGGAAAGGGTGAAGGGAGTCCTGCCCTTGGGGACGGAGCTGGGCATTAGACACGGGGAGGGCGTTCCCTCCGACGGTAGTCGCGCGTCTTCACACGGGGCCCCTGGTCCAGGACAGTGTGCAGGGCTCGCCTCGAAGAGGGATCGTTCCCAGAGAAACACTCTTGCTGTTGAAGATGCTAACTTTGGGTTTTGATTATTGTCGTGTCCTTGATCTCTTAATCGATAGCAGATGATTTCAAATGAACTTCAACCCACAATATTATGGGCAGTGAAAAATAATTGCATATTAAATGTCTAGGGTTGTTCTTAAGCTATTTGAAATTCTCTCTCCACAAAATTCACTTCCAATTGTTATGGTTTGAATTTGAAGGAGTCAATTAGCAATAATATTTTTCAAAGAACCCTCGAAATCATTCACCACAATTAAGTCTTATTCATTATTATATTGTGGTCTGGATGCAGATGATCTGTTTATTACTAGAAGTAAGCAGGTCTGACACAGTGAGGACCTGTGTAATGAACTTGGGCTTCTCCAGTGACATCTGTGTCTATGTGTGATTACACAGTTGTACCCACATGCTGTATGTCCCAACAGTTGTGAGTCTTATACTTTGTGGGAACACACAGATGGTGGGGAAGACACGACATTATTGCACTGTCTTTACTCCTACAGGAATCTTACGTGTGGAAGATGTACCAGGAAAGATGTTGGGAGTTTTTCCCAGCCGGGGACTGTTTCCGGAAACAGTATGAAGACCAGCTGAATTAATTCAGACCCGATCACCTAGAAACCCTAGCACCCTCACCCTCCCTGGCCCTCTGCCTGCCTCTCTCTCTCTCTCTCTCTCTCTCTCTCTCTCTCTCTCTCTCTGAATCTCTTTCTGACTCTCTCTCTGACTCTCTCTGACTTTGTCTCTTGCAAACATCCGCTGATGTGAGAATTGCCGCCTTCCATGCTTTCTGGGAGCAGTGACGCTGTGTTCCTGGCTGGGCCTTCCCCACCTCGTGTATTTCCTTTGAGAATAAAGACTGAAGAATAATCTGTACTCATACGCAGACAACATAGGAACTCCGGAAAGAAAGCCATCTGGACACTCAGGCATAACACAGACAGACGTCCTTCCGTCCTCCCGAGACGCTGGGAGCTCCCTGCGGGCAAGGTCACAGGGAAGGTTGGCCGCGCCCTGGGCTCCTCACTTCTCCATCCTGGGAGGGACCTGGTGGTCCCGCAGCTGCAGTGCCTCCGCCGGTGGCGAGGGAAACAGTGCCTTACTCAGTGGGCTGAGCTATGCAGAAGACGCGCGCGGAGCATCTTTGTTTTCATGTCCACTTCGTTTCCTTCGGTTGATTTTGTGAGTTGTTCCCTTTGTTCTTTTGCTTTGTGGGGGAGGGTAGAACAGCAGTCCGTGCACTTTTCAAGGAGCCGGTGGCCGGTCTCGTGACGAGGGGCTCCTCTCATCCTCCCACCCACGCCCCCCACGGCCCAGCTCCCCTTTCCGCCATGCTCTGATGCAACCCTGCAACTCGATGAAATCCTTGTGTGAAACAGACTGCAGACAACACACTTTCAAAAGAACTCATTGCATGTTTATGATGCAAGTTTCAACTGACAGAGAAACCCTCCGAGGCCAGCTGGTCCCGCGAGAACGTTCCCTGTCACTGGTCCACGGGACAGAGCGCCGTGGGCCCCCGTGTCCGCAGCCAGCACCGTCCACCCACCATGACCCGCTGTGGACCTGAGCCGTCCCGGGTGGTCCCCTCTTCCCGCCACCTGTGACCAGCGGCTGAGTAAGGACTTCTCGTGCGACCATTTCTCAATATCGATGCTGAAGCAATATCCATTCAGGGAGTTCATCGGTTGCATAAAGCCACGGGTGATGAGATCAGTCACTCCATTTGGGGTCCTTTTCAGTGGAAGGCTGTTCTTTACAGAGAGAAAGGCAGTTGGGAATGGAAGCGAGGCCACGTGGCCAACCCTGGGGCTCTTTTATTTAGGATTGTAACACTGCTCTGATTAAACTATTTAACTAACTTGCGCACCTCTTCTTTCTCCGTTTCGCTTAGAACTGGGACGCACCATAAAGCGTGGAGTGTTTACGGGGGAAGGGGGGGGGGGGGCTGGCCCTGCAGGCTGCCCGGGCTTCGGCCTCCTTGTCCCCGCAGGGCTGCTGCGGTCACGATTCTGGCGCCTCAGCGTTACCGGCATGTGAAGCGCCTACCCGCTCTGTATTTCCCTGTTTGGGGGTCCCCTAGAGTGCTTGAAACCCGCGAATGACAGAAAAATAACTCCCCCAAATGGTTCCGTTTTACTACAGCTCTCACTTTGGAAAGCTCAGGGCAAGTCCGTTTTCCGTGATAACAGGGTCCGTGTTCCGAGCTAATGTGAGCGGGAGGTACCCTTCTGGGTGGTGCATTGCACACGCGGACGCGAAAGGGCATGTGCTGGGGGCCCCTCGGCATCCGAGCTACAGCGCCTAGGTCCTCATTCACCCTGTGGTATCATTTTTACTGGGGAGCGGGCAGGCCTTTCCGAGCCCGCTCACCTGCTCAGGGAGCTGAGCTCACATCTGCAGAGTGTGGATAAAGGAAGCCAGGTCCGCCCCACAGCACGTCGGAGAGCACGTGCCATCTGCCAGGGGGCACTGCCCAGGAGCTCGTGTGAATTGGAGAAGTTAGCCCTTCCCCACATTATGTCATGAACCTCTATTGCAGCGGCTCTCAACCTTCTGGCCCTTTAAATACAGTTCCTCATGTTGGGACCCAACCATAACATTATTTTCGTTGCTACTTCATCACTGTCATGTTGCTACTGTGATGAATCGTCATGTAAATATCTGATATGCAGGATGGTCTTAGGCGACCCCTGTGAAAGGGTCGTTCGACCGCCAAAGGGGTCGCGACCCACAGGTTGAGAACCGCTGCCCTATTGTGTTGTGCAGAGGATGACCTTGTCACCGAATGGTAACTTTTTTGCCCAGAGCCCTGATATTTCTGTGACAGATGCCAGGAGGGGCATCCCAACCTTCATACCAGCACACAGATGCCCCTGAGATGCTTACAGCCATAAATATTAATAAATACTAATAGCACAGGCTCTCCCCTATCAAATCGAAAGTTCGCTCAGCACTTAATCCTGCGGCTTCTGTGAATGTTGAACCACAGCTAAACAAACCCTTGGGAGTCCGACGTTCACAAAACTGTGGGGTGTTTATAGCGACTCCGCTCAGCACAGACACAACAGGCGTGAACGTGGTGCGCTCGCGTGTGTCACGGTCTCTGCCTCCTGGGAGGCCGGAGCTCGTGGAGGGGAAGCCGGCGTCTCAGGCGAGGCGGCCCCTGCAGGCTCGACGGCTGAGGTCACGACGTCCTTAGTGACGCAGCCGGGGCTGTTGGTCAGTCTGGTCTCTCTTCAAATCTTTTTCTGTTTCTGGCCACGGTGGTTCAATAAACCAGAGTGTGTTCTTTAGGAGCCAGTAACCCCGACACAGGAAAGCAGCTGTGGGTTCTGATGAAGTTCCTCACAGCTCACCCGCACCCGCTCCCAGGGCAGGTGATCCCCGAGGGAACCACCGCCCGCAGGATCCGCCTGAGCACGCTGCTTCCGCGTCAAACAACCAGGCGTCCGGGCGTCCTAGACTGGAGGGGGTGTTTCATCTTGACATTTCATTCTAGTATCTGCCCTATTGCTTTTTTCTTTTTTTATATATATTTTTCTTGATTTCAGAGAGAGAGAGAGAAACATCAATGGTGAGAGAGAATCACTGACCAGCTGCCTCCTGCACACCCCCTACTGGGGATCGAGCCTGGGACTGGGGCTTGTGCCCTGACCAGGAATCAAACCGTGACCTCCTGGTTCATAGGTCCACGCTCAGACACTGAGCCACACTAGCCGGGCTCGCTGCCTTATTTCTTTACGGAGTTCTACAGACGGCTTCCCTGGTCTTTGTAGCTGTTTACAAGTGACTATATTGTGTCTAAAATAAATCTAGTTCCAGTTGTAATATTCACCAAGATTAGGATGATGGGGGTTCATGCTTCTCCTTAAAGATTTGGGACGCCATCAGTTGAGAAAAGGTTTCCACGGAGCTAGGGATCTTGCGTGTTCACGTGTCAGTGCTGTTTGATGGCAAAAGAACATCGAATTTGCTCTCCTGCCCATCAACTCCCACACGCAGTGGTGTGTCCCAGTTCTCTCCACACATCATAAAATCTGTTTTCTTCGGAGGAGTCTGTGGCCTTGATATATGTGCAAACCGCCTGCATGAAGCACTGCTAAATGGTGAATTTTTGTTTGTGGAGAAAGGATTCACTCTCTAGAGACCTGGTTCACCCCACCAAGTGTTACAAAATGATGCTCCTAATGCGAGAAGACTCTATTCACAGAGAAGCAGAAGCCGGAGCGTTAATAACTTGTAAAAGACCACCAAACCCTAAAGTGTTGGCACATGGTAACTTGGAAGTCTCCAGGCTGGGAAGCCCCAGGTGCCTAGCAAGGGACCATCTTAGGTGGGACCTCATCCCCAAGGTGACCTTTCCTCCCCTGGCATATCGCTGGTCATGCGGTTTAAACCCCCTGCCCAGGCGCCAGCCAACCAACCAGGGGAGACCTAGACCAGGCAAGGACACGCCTGGAAAGCTGCTGAATATTCTACTGAGATCTTCCCTGGGACCGTCCCCAAGATCTCGACGCTTAAACCTCAGCACAGAGGACCCCGTGGGCTCTCCCCCCCCCAGAGCTCACCGAGCCTTACCCTCCCCTCCCCTCCCCGAACTCACAGGGGTATCACCTCTACCTTCTCACTCCCCAGCATCAGGGCCCTGCCTTCACCTCTGTCACTTGTTTCCTTCTACAGATCACCGCTTTTACCTCCGTGATTTTATAAATAAATGTTCTCTGACAGTTTGGGTCTTGGCTCTGAATTCTTTCCTCACCAGGACCCAAGTACTGAAGGGTTGCTGAGCCCAAGTCCCACCTGACCCACCAGCCTAACACCCGGTGCCCTTCCCGCCGCCGCCAGCATCGTCTCCGTCTTCTTTTCTCACGTGCAGGCTCGTTGTGTCTTTGTTTGATGACTTTTATTTAAACTCAACTGTAGTTATTCTGTCATTTCCTACCCAGAGTTTGCCACTTCAGACTCTAACACGAGAATGTTTTCGCGGTATGATAGTTTGCGCCAACATACGCAGTAATCGCTGTGATATTCCACTAAGAAAATATGTTCTGGTTTGTGGAACCATTTCCCCGTGTGTGGACAGTTCCGCGTTCTGGTTCCTTCACTTCGTTGCGGTTCTGAAAGGCTTTATAAGGGAAAGAACACGTGAGATCGGGAAGAAAGGGCCCGAAAGCTAGCCTTGCTGCAGGTCCCCCCGGGGCTTTGGGCAAGTCCCTTAGTCTCCGAATCCCTCCACTCTATAAACTGGCGGTGAACAGCTTCTACCACACGGGCTGTGTGCAGCATTAATTAAATACTATACATGAGGTACCACACACAATGCTTTTAGTAAATATTTACTATTCCAATAAATATTTTTTAAAGTATTTATTTCCCATCTCTTTTGTTGTTGTTGTTAATCCTCACCTGAGGATATTTTTTCCATTGATTTTTAGAGAGAGTGGAACAGAGCAGGGGGGATGGGGAGAGAGAGAGAAACATCCACGTGAGACAGAGAGACACACGGATTAGTTGCCTCGCACCCGAGCCCCAACCGGGGCCAGGGATTGAACCTGCAGCCCAGATACGTGTTCTTGACCGGGAATCGAACCCAAGACCCTACAGCGAACCGATGCTCTAACCACTGAGCTATACAGGCCAGGACAAGCTCGGTTCCTCCGTCGGGAGCTGTGCTGGGTCAGAGGCAGGAAGCAGTGACAGGTGGCTCGGCGCCCAGGGGAGAAAGACCTGCCGTGGGGGGATGTTGGGACGCAGGCTAATCAGCTTCAGCCACGTGGCCGCTCACTGTCCGAGGATCCCCCAGCGCTGGTCAGAGCCACGCGGAGGCTGCAGGCAACAGGAAGGCGCCATGGCCCCTGCCCTTTCCAGTCCGTCCATCTGTCTGAGGCTCCCTCGGCACTGGCAACCTTCTCTCTCTTCCGTCCTCAGTGGAACAAATTCAGACGTGGAGGCGTTGCAAACAGGACAATGAATAAACCCGCCACGTCCCCATGGGAACTCGGCCGGGCGACAGGGTGGCCTTATCTCCCAGCAGCAGGCGGCCCCGGGCGGCGGCCGTGCCTGCCAACCCGTCTGCCCCTCGGCAGCTGGACGTGCGCGTGGGTGCGCCTTTGTGGAAAGTGGGGACATGTATGCAAATTGGCCCCGGTCCTGTCAGAAGATGGCCTTGGCCGTGGAAGGCTCTACTCTTTCCTCAGTGCAGAAACGGGAACTGAATTGTCTTCTGGACCCAAACTGTCTGCCCAGGCGTCGTGACTGAGGGCGCCCATCCCTTTGGCGTCTAGTCCTCTCTCCTCAGCCCTCTGAGCCCAGGCTCTGTAGTTATGCGAATGTTGGGGGGTTGGGGGGGGCGGTGCGGGGTTCAGAGAGGTGTCGCAATAGTGCTGTCTTGTGGACATTCTGAGAACAGCGCCCTAGAAAGGAATTCTGCAAGTTGCAATCATCTTGCTTTTTGCTTTACTCCTTCTAAGCTTCCAACCCTCCCTCCGTCCTGCTAACCCCAGTCATTCCCCAGTCTACCCCCGATCGCCTAAGCCCTTCCCTCCCTTCCCTCCCACTCGGGTGCGTCATCAGCCCCTTCCTTACCGCTGCCTTGAGCTGCAGTGACCTCAGTAAGTTACTCGCTAGGGCAGTTCTGCACTGCCACCAAGTAGATACTTAACAGCATCCTGGTGATAACATGGCACTCATAGTGATGGTGTCACCGTGGAGGATGTCTACCATGCTTGTGTACACTTTTTAAAATATATCTATTGGTTTCAGAGAGGAAGGCAGAGGGAGAGAGAGAGAGAAACATCAATGATGAGAAAGAATCATGGATTTGCTGCCTCCTGCACGCCCCACACTGGGGATGGAGTCCACAACCTGGGCCTGTGCCCTGACCGGGAATCAAACCCGTGACCTCCTGGTTCGTAGGTCGATGCTCAACCACTGAGCCACACCGGCCTGGCTCTTGTGTGCATGTTCTGGGCACTGAGAGGAAAGGCTGTACAAGCCCCTGCCACGCCCCCGAGCCCCGGATGTTCAGTGGAACACGAACGCTATTCCCAAATTAAAGTGGAGAGACACGGAGGAGTATGTGCTAGGACAGGGCAGCATGGAGGGGGCACTGCAGGGACAATGGCCTGGGGTCAGGGAGTCTGAGAAACCAGGACGATTCGCTCCAAGTTCGGATGAGCACGTGGACTCACACGCGCTCTGCTCCCCGGGCTCCAGAGAAGCCGGGAGGCCTGGAGCAGAAGGTCAGCCTGGAGGTGGGGACTCGACCTGCTCCCCTGCCTTCGGGACGCACAATAGGAGGCGGTGGCCTGCCAGGCCCCGCGAGGCCACATGGTCACTCGTGAAATATTGACGGGGAAGGGCTGCTGTATGTACCAACTTTATAAAACTCAGGAATCTCGTTTTTAATCCTCACCCGAAGATATGTTTATTGATTTTAAAGGGGCGGGGGTGAGAGAACCATCGGTGTGAGAGAGAAGCATTGATTGGTTGCCATCGTACACGCCAGACACACAACCTTTTGGTGCATGGATGACGCTCAGACCAACGCTGCTCCCCAGCGAGGGCTCTTTTTTAAGATGCAGATGATAATAGTACCCCCTTCCTAGGTCATCGTGAGCATTAAGTAAAGTGACTCATGCAAACTGCCTCCACTGTGTCTGGATGTGGCCGATGCCAAAAAGTGGTCATTGCCATTCCGTGCTCCAGAGTCGTCATCCCAGGGTCAAAATGCACAAATTAATCTCTTCCCCTGCACGCCATCTGCTTCGTAGAATAGCCTTTCCCTTCGGTCAGGTCGCTGGGGTAGGCTCTAATTCTGCGTCTCATTTGTTTTTAATTTCGCCCAGGGCGTCATCAACGTGAAATAAATATTTATTAAGAGCAGCGGATTTAAGTAGCACTGCTTGTGGGCGCGGTTTGCATTCATATATTCTCCTCTGCTTTTCGCCAGGCCTCCGCTGGGAGGCTGCGCTCATTGTGCCGTCATAGTTCAATTAGTAGAGTTTCCATATTTTATTTTTGTGGCCAAAAGAAGATGGCTCCTGAGGCACCAGAGGTTTTTGGTTTTTTTGGTTTTAAATGGCTAAAATGGCAATTGAGGAATCTTCTCATGCAGACCCGGGGGGATGAGAGGAGGACTCCTTCGCAGGCAGCACGGGACACTGAGGCCATCGGCCTCCAAAGCAGGGGTGTGGAGTCCCCCGAAGCGCTGCAGGGCTCCGTGGGGGGCTGCGGGGGCCACCCCGAGGACTGGATTGAGCCTGTCTGCGTGGTGATCGCAAACGGGTTGACTCATCGAGTTTACGTGTGCTGTCGGCAGCGGGCTTCTCCCAGCCTCCTTTAAAGTGGACTTCGTCATAGAGGGTCACCTGTCTGCTGCTTCCTGGGCACAGCGTGCTCCCAGGTGGAAACCACTGAGAGAGAGAGAGAGAGAGAGAGAGAGAGAAAGAGAG